AAACCAGCCATGGCCCTACGCAGTCTTTATTTATAATCTCAGCAATTTGATTTCTGAATAATAGCTTGGTTGTTATGCATAAAATACAGTCTTGGAAAGATAACAATCATAGTTTTTTAAAATAAACTAGATACAAAATTAATGTGTTTATTATAGAAAACAGATCAATGAATATTGACTAATAGAATGCAATGACACTTCTCACTAAATCCTAGAATATTCTATCCTAATAAATACTCATTAATAAGTGAGTCAAAGAAAATGCCATTAGCGTAACCACAGAATCAGCTCAAAATGGTCCTATCCTGTTTAACAAGATACTGAGTTAGTTTCCAGAGATAATAGATTGACCAAAATCACAAGCCATGCAGCAAAAGCTTGTGCAAAGGAGAGAACTCTGACCTCCAGCTGCTACACTGGGAACCAAAGTCTCATCCCAGCCCCTCCACAAAGCGAAATGTCAGGGACAAAACAAAACTTGCATACCAGAACTCTTTTGGAAGCGAAGGGTTTCTTGTCCAGGAAGATCCAGTGCTGATGCCCCTTTAACATAAATGACCAGGATCCAAGGTCATCCAATTAAAACTTGCCCCACCAGCACTTCTGCATATATATTCCTCCAACCCCTTAGAAATCCCTATCCTAGTCCAGTGAACAAGATGGATTTGAGACACTATTAAGTCTCCCATCTTCTCAGTTGGTGCCTTCTTGATCAATAAACCTTTCCTTACTCCACGCTCTGATGTTCTGAGCTTTGGCCTTCTGAAGCATCGGGCACAAGAACTTGGGTTTGGTAACATTAGGTGTGCTAAATTTTCACTGCTCAATTTTAAATAAGGAAAACATTATTTCCCTTTTTTCCTTTTCAAAGAACACACAATTTTGATGTACCCCAAGGCTCAAAAAGACTTTTCTTTGTATGCTCATGTCCTAGGTATCTCACCAAGACTCCCAGCTCTAGATCCATCTTTGTGCCAATTAATCCCAAGTTTATATAGCCAGTGTAGACCTTTATTTTTTAAACTTTAGACTAGAAGGGTAGTAGAATACGGCACCCAAAAATATGCTTTGTTGGCATAAGGATTTTTTTTTTTTTGAGCTAATTATTTTGAGAAACTGTAGACACAGGAGAAGCTCTGAAAACAGAGGTTGCCCTTTTGTAAGAGAAATTGACATTTATAAAGGAAATCTTCATTTTAAGGCTCTCCTTTTCTGTACCAGGAAGTGAAGGATGACTAGATCACAGGAAGAGGATCTTAGCAATGGAGAAGGCACTGACTTAAATCTGCCTGATAATACCCCAGTTTATTATGCTTTCCCTGGTATTCTCCCCATAACTTCTTTTCTCTTTAGCTGAAGATGTTATTTAAGGTGGTGGCTTCAGGGATTTATTTAGTTTCTCTAGGTATCTCCCATATATACAGGAAGTATATGTTATGAAACTTCTGTTTTTCTCCTGTTAATCTGTCTTTTATTATGGGGGTGGGTGGAGCAGAGGTATATCTCAGCCAAGAACCTAGAAAGGTTGATAAAAATTATTTTTCTCCCCTACAGCCCCTAACTGGTTTCTCTGTTTCAGCCCTTATCCTCGCTATAATCTATTATCAAAACAGCAACCAGAAAAATCCTATTGAAAAACTAGTCAGATTATACCGGCTAGTGTGGATCTGAGAGCTCACTGGTTCTATTTCTGGTCAGGACACATGCCTGGGTTGTGTGCGCAATCCCCAGTGGGGGGCATGCAGGAGGCAGCCAATCAATGTTTCTCTTTCTCTCAAATCAATAAAAACATATCTTAAAAAAAAAAAAAAAGATTACATAGTCAAATCATGTCATTCCTCTGCTCCAATAGCCTCATGGCTTCCCATTTGTGATAGTGTTATTTAAACTAAATAAATATTTTGGTCCTCATGCCTCATAGCTCTTCAAATCCTTGAAATTTCCTAAGCAAGAGCAATGGAAGCATCTTTTAAAAAATATTAGGTCTTTTGCCCTTAGTTCCTAAAATAGCTTCAGCATAGAAAGGTGAAGTGGCATCTTCAGTCATTCATAAATAACAAACTGCTTTCAACAACACCTGAGTTTGTTAATGAGGTGACTTTTGGACAACTCTTCAGGATGGTGGCAATTGGGGGAGGAGTCAGTCACTATTAGAGGGTTGGACCTGTCAATCCCACTCTCCACTCCCAGAAAGGGGCTGGAGGTTGAATCAACCATCAAAAAGAATGATTTGCTCAGTCATGCCTATGTGATAAGGCCTCCACAAAATCCCTAATGTACAGGGTTCAGAGAGCTTACAGGTTGGTGAACAAGAAAGTATCCATGTATAGAGAGGATGGTACACCTCCACAGAGACAGAAGCTCTTGTGCTCGAGACATTTCTGGACCTCACCCTATGTGTATTTTCATCTGGCTATCTATTCATATATATCCTTTAATATTCTTTGTAATAAACAAATAACCTATTAAAAAAACTTGATTCCTGAGTTATGAGATCTGTTATAGCAAGTTAATCAAACCTGTGGAAGGGGTCATGGAAACCTCTAATTTATAGTTTGTGATTAGAAGCATATGTGACAACTTGGACTTACAATTGGCATCTAAAGATGAAGAAGAGGGGAGGACCTGTGGGACTGAGCCTTTAACCTGTGGGACCTGATGTGTCAGAAGTGAGTTAAATTGTAGGACATCCAGTCAGTGTCCACTGAGAATTTGGAGAATTGCTTGGTTGTATTGAAAAAACACATCATATTGTTATCATTGTAATTAGGTTGTTATTATTAATAGGAATGGAGCAAAAGGAAGGACAGACATTATAAGTATGACCATCTGGGCAGGTTCACCAGGAAACTGCAACTTTTCATTAGTCCATTCCCTGCAGAGCACTGGGGAAAGGGGTCCAACAAAGGGAAGATGGACACATGCATAGTAAAGTTGGGGTGATGTAGGGAAAACACTTGCCTGTGAGTCTAGCCTGGAAGAAAGATAATTGGCTATAGGGGGGGAAGCCCCTGCAAACGCAAGTAATCTTAGAAGGGTAAAATCTCCAGACAAAAGAACTTGCTCTCTTTTATTCCTCTGGCTTTTCTCCTGCTTTCTTGCACTTGCCCATGTTCCCTCCAGAGCCATGTGGCCCTAGACGCCACATGGGCATGGCCATGCAGACCCCACACACAGTGGACTATAGCTGGGAACAAAAGCTAAGGTAGGCTCATACTGGACTGGACTGTGCAAATATGGGATGAAATTTCAGGGTAATGGCTTTAATCCTAACTCTGCGGATGACACAGCTGGACTTCTTCCATGGCAGGATGGAGGGAGAGGGAAACTTGGAAACTCAGGGATTTAATTCCATGCACTTTAATACCATTTATTCTTTTCCGTGAGTCTCAGAAAATGTATTTTTTTTCCCTGACATTGCAAGAAGCCCACTCCCACCAGCAACCAGTGGTGACATAAAGAGCTCCTCACTGATAACAAAATCATCTCATTCAAGGTTAAAGCTGAAATCCATACAGTAATCCAGGTTCCATACCACCTGGCCCCATCCCTTACCTCTGCCTCATCTCCACTGCTCTCCCCTCACACTCTGCTCCAGTCACTCTGGCCTCCTTGATGGTGGAACACCCAGGCCCACTCCTTTCCACTCCCTGTTCTCTGCCTGTAACACACTGTCCCAATAAATCTGAATGGTCCCCTCTCAAACCAGCAGTCTTCACCCCAATGTCACCTTGGCCAAGCTTTCTTTGACCATGACATCTGAAATTACACTCCACACACAATTCCCTCTACACCTTCCTGCTGTTTCTTTTTTAGCAGTTACCACTAATATCTAACTTATTATATAGTTTGCTTGTTTGTCATTGTTTCCTGAGAGGAATGTAGACTTCACGAAGGCAAGGCTTTGGTCCATTGGTAGACTGCTGTCTCCCAGTGCCTAAGGGCCTTAATCCCAGAACTGCAGTCAGTACTGGAGCCTCAGCCACGCACTCACTCACACCAGGCACCAGCACAAGGTCCCTGGCACTGTGGGTGAAGAGAAATGAACATGGGCATTACTGGTTCCTTTGTTCAGGCAACATTTACTCACTGAGCACCTGGAATTGTCAATCTGTTCGCTAAGCCCAGGTGGTGAGCTTTGTTGGAGACCAACCCACCACAGAATGCCAAGAATCCAGGGCAGGAAGTCATTCCTCTCAGTAAACAACTAGAACAGGTCAGACACTGTGTGCCTAAGGTGCTTACCACATGCTACTGCCTATAAATGCCTTTCACAAGCACCAATAAACCAGATCCTGTGTCTAGCATAGTCTCACTGGATAAATCCCCACACTGGGGATCTCTCTCTCTCTCTCTCTCTCTCTCTCTCTCTCTCTCCTTTAGTGAGAAGGGTTGGCCTCTAAGCAAGGCCATCTGGCACCAAATGGCCCTTGTCTTAGAGAATTGAAAGTATGTGCATAGAGGCTAAGTTGTTGCTGGTCACCTAATGACTATAAAGGGTTTAAAGAAGAAAAATATATATTTTTTTTCCCAGAAACATCAGCTCTGCATTATCCAAATAAACAAAACTGGAGGAGAAGAGGAAAAAGAGTGTGAAAGATAAAAACTAAAAAAAGATCAAAGAATAACGGGGGGTACTATATATATATGGTACCCTCCTAAACACGTTAACCAGGTTAACTCATTAACTGTTCCTGTGAACTATGAAGTAGGCACTGTTTATCACCATCAGGGCTGTTTTTCAAGGGAGTGACTAAGACTCAGGGAAGTAATTTGCTCCTGGGCCCTGGAAGACGGTCATGAGGACTGAAGCCTGGCAGTCTGGCTCCAGGGTCCGTGTCGTCACTAATGGTTTTACGAAATCAAAACGGCAGCGGTGGAGCACGGGGCCCAGGCGGCGCGAAAGGGGCGCGGGACGTGAATGGGCCGCGGGGCGCGGCGGTGGGACCCTGCAGAAGGGAAGGTGGCGCCGCGTGGGGCGCTGCAGCCTGCTCTGTCACCTGGGGCTGATCTGGAACTGTTCAATAGCCGACTCCAGGCTCTCCAGGTTCCCCAGGCACTCCTCGCTCTCGGGCGTGTCCTCCAAGCCCTCCATCGGAGCCGGGGAGGCAGCCGCTGGGTGATGCGCCTCCCGCCCAGATTCCCTCTGGAGCGCGTGGGAGTCCAGAACCTGCGTCCGTTGCCATGGCGACTCCTAGGGAACCTGAGGGCGAGCGAATTCTTGGGCTGGGGGCTCGACGGGGGTGGGGGTGGGGGGGATGAGGGGACCGCTGGGCGGGCTCTGGAGTTGCCTCCAGGCGGCTTCCACTGCCCGCCACACTCAGGGCTCTCTGACAAGGCGTCCTCTTCCCTGGACGCCCACGAGCCAGGTCATCGCTGAAATATCCCCAGAAAGCTGGACCCCTGTAGATAATCCTGCAACATCACACCACCTCCAACTCTTCTTGCCCTCTCTTCACCAAGGGCTCTGAGCGCAGCCTCCTGCGAGGCCCACGCTTTTGGGAGTGAGGTGGGTGTGGATTCCTGCTTTCTGTAGTGCAGTTCCCCGGCCTGCCCTATGCTAAAAGTCGCACAAAGGGAGGATGAAAAATGGTGCACCCATCTAGTAAGGATGCTCATGGCACAATGAGACCTGGGCTCTCAGAGCAATGCCATAATAAGGGATCAGGAGGTGTGATGAATAGGCTAGCCCTGACACTGACCATGGACATAAGTGTTTGTGGACAGAAAAATTTCTTTGCTGCCCCCCCACCCCCTGTGTGGCTCAGTGGGTTGAGCATTGTCCTCTGGACTGAGAGATCCCGATTGGATTCTGGGTCAGGGCACATGCCTGGGCTGCAGGCTCCATGCCCAGTAGGGGGTGTGCAGGAGGCCGCCCATCCATGTTTTTCTCTCACGTAGATGTTTCTTTCCCTTCCCCTCTCTCTAAAATATCAATAAAAACATATTTAAAATATTTTTCTTGCAGAGATTAAACAGGCCTATGTTTCTAAAAATGAAGGTCAGAGGTAAGATGTTAGGTTTTAAGCCATGCCATGCAGTGTAGAATTCATGTTAAGTTTTTACAATAATAAGAAAAAATATTTAACTCATGAAACTATTGCTCATTCTTTATTTTAAATTATGTGTCACTCACTGACTATTGATAGAAGATACCTATCCTAATATTATCAATATGTCATTGCCTCATTTTAGAACTAAGTATACTACATTTCCATTTCAGTATATTGTCTATAAGAAAACAAATCATTTTCTTCTCTTTCTTATAACAAACTATGTGAAAAAGAAGTTATTTTGATATTAGAAGCCCAAAGTAGAAAAAGGAAATCACTGTAGCAATTATCACCACTCATATTTAAATTCAAACACAAAAAGCCACAAATGGCAAACAAAAATCATAACCAATGCCTAAATAATCTCTGAGACATGAACAGACGAGAAAAAGTTACTTCTACTTGAAAGAGGTTTTTATTTTTTAAATCTAACTTCTAAGCTTACTTAGGAAAATCTTATGTAATCAAAAGGTATGTTATTATTTTTATTTTATTTTATTTTATTTTATTTTATTTTATTTTATTTTATTTTATTTTTGTTAATCCTCACCCAAGGACAATTTTCCATTGATCTATAGTTAGAGTGGAAGAGAGGGAGGGAGGTAAAGAGAGAGAGAGAGAGAAAGAGAGAGAGAAACATCAATGAGAGAGACACATTGATTGGTTGCTTCCTTCATGACCCTGTTGGGGCCCAGGGATTGAACCTGCAACCTAGGTACATGCTCCTGACCAGGAATTGAACCCCCGACCCTTCGGTTCTCGAGGTGATGCTCTAATTAACTGATCCAAACTGGCCAGGGCCAAATGTACTTTAAAAATAATAAATGTATATACCTATAATAAATTGTCTTTTTTAAAGTGCTTTTTAAAAATATAACAATGCAGATAAAATTTTAACTATAAAGAGTAAAATTTCAAGTTGAAATAAAAATCTGATCCATTTAGAATCATGCCAGATATCAAAAAGACTGTGATAAGCCGTTGGCTATTTTACTAATGCAATTCTAAATGAATATTTTGAGACTGAACAGAGATCTCACAGTAGATTTCATGAGTCATTGGTCAACACTGTGAGGTGTTTGTTGACTGGTATGGACTGCATAGTTACACCATCCCACAACAACAGGTACTAAACAAAACCTCTTTGTTTGAAACCTTGCTATAGCATATCACGAAGGTTCAGATTTCAGTGTTTAGGAGTCTATGTAATGAGGATGAATGTTTTTGTTTTGTTTTGCAAACGTTTATTTAGAAAGTCACAGTAGTAGAAGTGAGCCCTGGAAAACAGTGAGCCTGTTGGGCTGAATGTACTCAGAAAACAAGTTACTGAGGCAAAAGAAGGGCCCTTAGAACTTAGGAGAAAGAAAGGCAAGCAAAACCTGCCTGCGGGAAGGAGAGAGGGAAAATCGGGGGTGAGAGAGGGGGGGGGAGGGGGAGAGGGAGAGAGAGAGTTATCTCTCAGCTGTATTCCTTATAAACTTATTCATTTCAGATCATATTCTCACCTATAAAAACTGGAGTTGGCACTGTCAAAGCATTTATCAGAGTAAATCCAAGCTTCTTGTATCACATGTTGAATTTATTGATCACTTTTAGTGGAAACCTCATGCCCTCTGGAGAAATATTAAAACAAAACAAACAAACAAAAAACACTGACTTTGAAACTTACTTGCTTTAGAATAGCACGGCACACACAAACTAATTACTAAAATTCTGCAGCACGCCAAAATATATATATATTTTTGCCAATCTGACAAAAAAGGATAGGTATAATTTTGATTCACTCACACTGGATAGCAATTGTGTTGGCTGTTGTCCTTTTTTTATTTGACATTGTAAAGGAAAAGAGGTCAGTGTCCTGACTAAATAGTCAGGTATTGCATGTTTTACAAATTCTTGCAGCACACTGGTTGAAAATCACTGATTTAGAACATTGGGCAAACATCTCTGAGCTTCTCTTTTCTCACCAGTAAAAACTGGACAATGAACCTTTCAGGGTGGCTGGGAGGAATAGTCTATAAAGTGAGAAAAGTATGCAGCACTTTGAGAGACAAATACTAACCAGGCCTAAAGGACTGTGTTCCTTCCTTCTAAACCTCCACTAAGAAATACATTATTGAAAGTTTTCTGGATATTTCAGAAGGTAAAATGATTTTTACTGGGTAAATTAATAGGGCACACTTTTAACATTTCAAATACTTCTCTAAAACACACACATGTATAAATATAATGTGTGTTCATATGAAAATATCACCTACCAATTATTAAAAATGATAACATCTTGGATTAAGTAGCATGAGGATTTGAGTAAGAGTCAAGTGCTGACTCTAAACATAGTAATTTGTATCTTCCAGTTGGATATTATCAGTTCTATAGTCTAATAAAAGCCAAGAGGTTTCAGTTTAGGTTTGTAATTTAAATTCGTTTTAGAGAGTCATCATATGTAAAGTGCTTATTTTTCTTTTATCACCAGCTGTAATCTATGATTATGTGTGCAGGCTCTGTTATGTAAACTTGTTTTATGTCATGCCTCATCCATAACCAAAGTTCTTAAATAAAGGGTGAGAACTGAGACAGCAAGGCCCTTAGCCAGGACAATATTACACTCCTAAATCCTTTATGGAAAAACTCCTGAGATTAGGTCATTTTAACATATTACATTTTGCTGCAATGAGAGAAAATATCCATTCTAAAAAAAATAAAAATAAAAAGTCCATCAATAAGTGTTTGTCACTCGGCTGAAAACCACGAGGAGAAGCATGGCAAGGAATTTGGGCAGGAGCACCCTTGATTCAGAATTTGGATCTTGCTGCCAAATGTCTTTGAATACTGTAGTAGGGGGTTTCCTCTCTTTGGAACTAAATTTAGATCTTTAAAAGGGAGACAGGGAAAATGTAAAGAAAATGCTACATCTTAGCCGCTAGCAGAAATGAGTCCACCCAAAACAAGAGCTGTGACCCTGCTGCTGAGGGAAATTTGGGAACTCTCCAGGTCTGGTCAAGCTAACAGAGTGGACCTTCACGCACAGCACATGACCTGGGAACTCTACAACACATACATTTCAACGCATCATGAGGTGGTTCAGGAAAATTAGAATCCTGAATGATGAGTAATAAAAGGGCAATTACCATATTTCATGCAACCTAAGATTTCATCTAAAACCATTAAAAATGTGAATTTTAGACTAAGTTAAATAAGGTAGGTAATAAGAATTAATAAGCCCTGGCCAGTCTGGCTCAGTCAGATGGGCATCATCAGGTGCACTGAAATATTGTGGGTTCAATTCCTGGCCAGGGCACATGCCTGTGTTATGAGCTCAATCACCAGTTGGGGTGTGTACAGGAGGCAATCGATCGATATTTCTCTCTCTCTTTTCCCTCTCTCTAAAAAAATAAAAATAAAAAAATAATAAAAAAAATCAATAAACATATCCTTGGGTGAAGATTTTTTAAAAAAGTATGAGTCAGCCTGGCTGGTGTGGGTCAGTGGTTGAGCATTGACCCATGCACTAAGAGGTTGCTGGTTTGATTCCTGGTCAGGGCACATGCCCAGGTTGTGGGCCCAGTCCCCAGTAGGGGCATGCAGGAGGTGGCCAATCAATATTCTCTCTCACTGATGTTTCTATCTCTTGCTCCCTCTCCCTTCCTCTCTCTCTAAAATTGATAAAGAAAAAAAAATGTTTAAAGAAAAAAAGAGTCTTAATCAGAGAAAGACCTTTTCAGGGGGGTTTTATTTCATCAAACCATAGAGATATTTCAAGGTTTTCCATAACTTGGACAAAGTACTAACTTAGGACCATCTAGTTCTCTTTGTTCTTTTTCCAGTGTCACAAGGAGAATTCAAATTCTCAGCTACATAGATTCCCAAGTAAGACTTGATCTAGACAGCAAATGTGTGATTTTGGTTGGTGTGAGAATTCTCCTGTAGCCTGATGTAAAAAAAACAAACTAATATATATATAGCAGTTAGACATGCCTGCACATGGACTAGACTTAGAGGCAAGGTATTCCCCACAAAGAATCACCAAGTCGGCTTTGCTTAG